TTTTTGTGTATGGTGTGAGGTACAAATCTTGTTTCATTTTTCTGCAAATGGATCTCCAGTTTTGCCAGCACCATTTATTAAGCAAACATTCTCTTCCCCACTTAATGGATTTCGGCCCTTTGTCAAAGATCAGCTGACCATAGGTGGATGGATCTATTTCTGGGTTCTCAATTTTATTCCATTGGTCTATGTACCTGTCGTTAAATCAATACCAGGCAGTTTTGACTACTGTGACTGTGTAGCAGGTTTTGAGATCCAGCAGTGTGAGACCTCCTCCTTTGTTCTTCAATAGTGCTTTGCTTATCTGAGGTCTCTTTCCTGGAAAGAAATTTTTTAATGGGAATACACTATTTCCCAGAAGTAAATTCAAACAAAAGCTATAATTTTATTTGATCAAATTCTCAAAAGATAAATTTGTATTGGTTCATTTAATGCAATGTTCATTTAAAAAAATGCCTATGAAATAGCTAAGTTCTTATTTTTAAACTATAGTCTTTGATTCTAAGTCTTCATTCTTATATTTTGGACATTAATATTTTGTCTAATATGTGTATGGAGCTCTGGTAGCATAGTGGCTAAGGCACTTGACTGCTAACCAGAAGGCTGGCGGTTCAAACCCACTGGCCACTCCTCGGAAGGAAGATGGGGCAATCTACTTCCGTAGTGATACTGCCTCAGAAACCCAAGGAGGGGTCGCTATGAGTCGGGTCCGACTCGACGACACATAACAACAACAACAATATGTGTATTGTAAATATTTTTTCTCTAGTTTGTCAGAGTCAACTTTTGACTTGTAGTAAAGTTTATCTCTTTGTGTATTCTAGATTTTATGTCTGCTTATAAAAGCCTTCTGTACTTTTAAGATTTTTAATGAATTCCCCCATGACTTCCTTTATAATATATATGATTTTATTTTATGCTTTTGCATCTTTGTTTCACCTTGTATTTGGTTTTCTATAAGGAGTGATCTAGTAATCCAGGTTTATTTTTCCCCTAGATGGTTTGCTATTTATCGTAATATCACTTATTGAATAAGCACTCTTTTTCACAATGATTTGAAGGGTTACTTTTGTGTAAAATTAAACAAGTTTATATATTTAGGTCTCTTTCTGGACACATTGTTCTGTGATATTGATTTATTTTTTCATTTCTTTTCTAGTTCTAAACAGTGTTAGTTATTTTAGCATTATATAATTTAGTGTTTAGTAGAACTAAATATCTCCTTTTTACTTTTCAGAATTTCTCTGTCCTTTCTTACAACTTGTGAGAAGTAAATTTTCTCAAGTATCTCCTAAAAATCTGGTGAAAATTTATTCGAATTTATCAGTTTTTGGGGAGAATGAATATTTGAATTACAGAAACTACACATCCAAGAGCAATCTCATTGTTTAAATTTTATTAAAATAGAATTTTCAGTTTTCTTCATATAACTTTGCATCTTATCATTAAGTTTATGCCAAGTGTTCTGTTTTTTGGGTTTCTGTTATAAATGAAACTTTTTTTTATTTTGTTTTCTAACTGTTCATTGTTTGTATATATTAATGATGCTTAAAATTTATGAACTCCACTTTTTTTTATTCTGCTGTTCATGATAGTTGATTTGCTGTTCTTCTAGTTTATGATTTGTACAAATAATTTTACTTCTTCATTTCGATTCTCATATCTCTTACTTCTCTTGTTTAATTGCAAGGTTTAGTATTCATTCATTTGCTATCCATTGATATTTTAAGCGATGCTTGTCTATAATTTTATGTTTTAATAGAATGTTTCTCAAGTTTTCATGGTATTATTATGTTGCTTTTGTAAAAAAAAGATTTGGAAGAGTTCCTGATCAGAGTAAATTCTAAACTGAAATTTCTATATATTAACTAGTCACAGTATGCCAAGGAAAATTATCCACTATGCACAATAGAATGTAAATTCTTAAAACCAAAAAAACAAACTCACTGCCGTCGAGTTAGATCTGACTCATAGCAACCCCTTCTTGGGTGTCTGAGGTGGTATCACTACAAAAGTAGATTGCCCAACCTTCCTTCCGAAGGAGTGGCTGCTGGTTTTGAACCTCTAGCCTTCTGGTTGGCAGTCAGGTGGCACTATGCCACCAGAGCTCCCATAAATTACTTAGGTTGGACTTTTTTCAAAGAATTAAGATTGCAGTGGTAGAACAGGGAATATTTTTCAGAGCTTGGAGTTAACATAGCAAAAATTCAAATGTTTGTTTTTTAATTGTTGTCTATTAACTTGATATGTCACTTCTCCATATGTGCAGGCTTTGCTTCAGCTCTGTTAGTCTGTCACTGTCCTTTGAATATACAATTCCTACATTGCCACCTTGATGATATATTCTTATTTATAATCCATTTATCAATTCCATACATTTTATTTTCTAAGCACTGTATGAAGTACTGGAGCTATAGTGTAAGTAAGAAAATTATGTGTCTCAGGGATATGGACTTTATGGTTTAAAGTGCTAAACACTGTGTTGGTTAAGAACTGTTTAATTAGACAGGCCAGAGTTTAAATACCTACTTTGCCATAGCAATATGACCTTGGGCATATTATTTAATATCTCTATGTCTTAGTTTCCTCATCTGTAAAATGGAAATACTAAATCTTCCTACTTTATATAGAGTTTATATCTTATTATCACACACATTGCACAGTAAATACTCAATAGTGGTCATAGTAATTACTTTTAATACATTCACTGCTGCTATTGCGAAAATCACCATACAGCAAACATCTTTAGGAATCTCTTCAGATTCCCTAGCACTCCATTTGTCTTAGCGCCATAGTGCATGAGGAAGCAAACGTTAAAAGCATGTTCCTAAATCATTGGGCTAGTTTTGCTAAAAGAGATAAAAATAATTCAGTAATCTCTATTTGCATTGTTTAACCTAACCTTTGTTGATTTTAATATTATTTAAATGAAATACTTTTACTTTCATTTATGTTACTTTTTAGATCCAGTTATATTAAAGACCCAGTTTTATAAAAGTATATCTTAGCTTCAGAGTAAGAAATCGCCACCAAAGATGCTTTGTGTTTAGTGGCATAGTAATTAAACACTGCTTTTCATTTTACTGTTTGGTATCATTTGCCTAAGAAAGGTTATTGACTGAAGTATTATTCACAGTATGGTAGTAAACACGTTAGGTTCTTCTTTGCTTGTACTCTCTCCAGACTTTCCATAATAGCATAATTCAGTTCTCCTACCTATTTTACAATAAAATGAGTTATTGAACCATATGATCTACCCTTGATTTTTACCCTATGGTTTTGAAGACCAATAGTATCTGTAAGAAACACTAAGGAATTATGTTGCTACCTTTATATGCAAACCTCTTCTGGAATCTTAGGGCTAATGGTAGGAATCTTTAGATTTTAATGAATGACCTCTAAAGTGGAAAGCTGCTAAGGTACTCAGAATTTGCACCCAATGTTTTCATTTTATAATATATAAAAATTTAATGGAAAACTCTATAATTGGAAACAATGCTTAGAGACCTAATTTTATATTTGAAGATAGGAGAAAAATGGAGGTCATAAGATAAACTGTGGGCCAGGGGACAAAAGTGTTTGAGATAACTCAAATACGATGAGAAAGTAGTCATACATGTTTGGTGATGGGTGGGAGAAAAGAACTCTCACATTCAACTGATGAATCTTCTCTTCTTTTTCTTCCTTTTCTTTCTAAAACACAGTCACTGCTTTGACTTCTTATAGCTGAAAAATGGCCTAGCTGAAGTGTTTCACAGAAGAGAAGTCCAGTTTTAGAGCAGTGTTGTATTACTTTATTTTTTATTAGACTGTATTATATTACTTTAGTTTTTAAAAAACTGAAACTTTTCAATATGTTTAATTGGTTCATGTTTATTGACTTAAACAAGTGTAAAACTTAAAAAAAAAAAAAACTCACTGATAATCCTATTAAACAGAACAACTTAGGAGAAGTGGTAACAGAAAGAAGTAAAATCATTAAAATAGACAATAACAGCAGGATTTGGGATTAGTACAGAGAGGGTCACTGGAACCCCATAGCATTCATGTGAAGACTAAACAGAGATGTGTTGGAATCTCAATGAGGACTGTTTTGTTTGGACAGGTTAGGGTAGAAGTCTTACTTACATGAGTTCAAGAGAGAACAGGAGAAGAGCAAATAGAAACAATAAGTACTGATAACTCTTGAGTGTCACTGCCGTAATGGGGAGACATAGGGCCAAAGAGGAGTTTCTCTTATATTTTGTTTTTGAACCGTGGAAAATATTATATTTGCGTGTGGATAGATGTGGTGTATTAAAAAGAGAAAGTTAATTGTATAGAAGAGATTGAGGACATTTTCTGCAGCATTGACTTTAGGTTGGCAAGGTGAGGTGAGAGTCACTATATAAATTCCAAATTGGTTTTAGATGAGAGCATGGGCAGTTCATTGATGATGACAGGTGGGAGAGTGGACTGTATGGGAATAGAGACAAATGAGTTATTGATACAGTGACAACTGCTGTGGAGGTTTATTTCTAATTACTTCAGTTTTCCAGTGAATATTCTGGGTCTTCGGCTAAGAGTATCTAAGGAAGAACAGAAAGTGAATGGGTGAGGAAAATGAAAAGGAAGTGGGCTTCAGAAGACCATATGTTTCAGGAAAAACACCTGGCCTGCTTTGCGTGTTTACATTACCCACTTGACTCTTGAAGTTGTTAACATTTGGGATCCTGGTGTACATTCTTTTCTGTGTTTTATAGGGTTACTTCACTCTTAGCTCTCAGCCTGTCTTTTTGGGGGAAATCAAAAGTAGCTGTTCCTTTGGACAATGATAAATATCCATTTTTTTTTCTAATAAAAAGCTAAGTGAGCAACAATGTATTTTTTGAGACTCTTCTATGTTCAAATATGTCTACTTGCTCAGTTGTATTTAGTCTTAATTGCAAAGTCAAAATTAAAGAAAAGACAAGTGATATCCTTGATTTCACTTTGGGTTTTTTTTTTTTTTTTTTTTTCAGATGTTCTTAATTGTTGCTCCTCTTTCTGTCCTCTACAACTGGAGGGATGAATTGGACACCTGGGGATATTTCAGAGTCACTATTTTACATGGAAACAAAAAAGACAATGAATTGATTCGTGTAAAGCAGAGGAAATGTGAAATTGCTTTAACAACTTATGAAACACTGCGTTTATGTCTGGATGAACTTAACAGGTAATAGGGGTAATGGGAATGATTGCATTAATATTCAGCTTACATAAGTTATATCTATTCCTTTACATTCTGATTTTTTTTTAAAGTTCTTAATATTCTTAACATGTTTTAATTTGATTTCAAAATTAACTGAAATAGAGTAGTTCATAATAACCTGCTTTCTGAGAAAGAAAAACCTGCATCAGGCTTTCCTTAATTCCTTATTCTGTTTCTTAAACTCAATGCAGGATACCTCTCCAAAACTTGCCTGTTAAAGAATGAAAAGGCTTGTCTTATGTCACTTTTTATGCATTTGATGCCTCTAGTCTAGGATAGTGATTTTCATGAATTTTTTTTAACAGTGGACGTCTGTTGTGAGTGTAGTTGGCAATAAATAAATTGATAGCCACTGTTGTAGGATATAAATTTCCAAGAGTAATGAATTTATTTTCACCTACCTGCATCTTAAGATGTGGGAGCTGTGGTGGCATAGTGCCTAAAGCATTTGACTGCTCACCAGAAGGCTGGCGGTTCAAACCCACCAGCCATTCCTTGGAAGGAAGACTGGGCAATCTACTTCGACTGATACCACCTTGGAAACCCAAGTTCAGGTCTCTATGAGTTGTAATTGACTTGATGGCGGCGAGTTTTTTTTAGTTTATCTTAAAATTTTAATGAGGAATCTAAAGGAGTAAGCACAGTTATAAAGTCCTATGAACCCCATCCAATACAGTGGAATCAATTCTGATGACCCTATAGGATGGAGTAGAACTGCCCCATAGGGTTTCTAAGGCTGAAATCTTTATAAAAACAGACTGCTACATCTTTCTCCCATGCAGTGGCTGGTGGGTTTGAAACTCCAACCTTCTGGTTAGCAGCCAAGTGCTTTAACCATGCACCACCAGGACTCCTTCATTACAAAGTCAGATGAGTTCGTTAATCTGGAAGACCCAGTGCTATGGGAGCACATGAGGAACCTAATGCTGCTGTTTAGCGGGAAGAATTTGCAGAGAAGCTTTCTAGAGAAGATGAGCTGTGAGCTGAATGAGCCTTGAAGGATGAGTAAGAGTTGAATAGTAGGAGCATGTCTTAGTCTGTGTTCTCTAGAGGAGTAAAACTAGTGAAGCATATATAAATACATAGAGAGAAAAGTTTACTTCAAGGAAATGGTTCATGCAGTTGTGAGGAAATGTTTTGCACAGTTGGGGAGGCTGACAGGTTCCAGATCAATGGGTCAGTGGCAGGCTGTAGTCCTCTGTTGGATGACAGGGTAGCCGAGTTTGAAGAATCCCGAATTTTCGGGTCAGGCGCCAGGCCAGAGGCTTCTGCAGGCTTACATCCCAAGAATAGGAGATCAGGTGAATAGTGCAGGGTCAAGAAAAAAGATGAGCTTTGCCAGAACATCCATTTATATGCTGGAGACAGGCCACATGTCCAATGAAACTCCCCTTTCAACTGATTGGCTGCTCACAAAATTGAAGGTGATTATATAGTGTCTGCCAAACCACTGAGAATCATAGCCTAACCAAGTTGACACTTAACATTAACTATCACAGAGAATAATCCAGGATAGAAGAATAATCCCTGCAGAGAGAACAGACTATTTGCAGAGGCCATCAGGTAAGAATGATCACAGCATGCTTAAATAAATGAAAGCAGCTTGGTATGGCTGCAACCGAGAATGAAAGAGAGATAGTCATCCTGCAACCGAGAATGAAAGAGATACAGTGGTCGTGGGACAAGACCAATGATATAAGTAGGGGATAAGTCATAAATGTTCTCAAAACCACTTTGAAGATTTTGATCTTAATTCTTACAGCAATGAAGTGTCATAGAAGTGTTTTCAGCACTTTACTGATAGGATAAAAGTGATCAGATTTACATTAAAAATATATACATTGTGGTTTTCAGGTCTAGAACGTCCATTTGGTTGTTTGCTGAGATTACCTGGGTTATTTTAAGGTTGATCTTTCTCCTGAGAATAGCTCACATTTTCCTGTTGTGTGTTGAGTAATTTGGGGTTGTATTCTGTACATTGTGAAAGTTACATTGTAGAAACAATTTTGTTATATTCCGGTAAAGCATGATGATACTTTTGTTTTAGCAGATAACTTGTTTAGGTTCAAACAGCAAATTTTTTTCTTGCCTATATGGCTTTTCAAATCTCAGTTCAGGACTTTTAACTTTAGCTGCAGGGTGGTTTAATTTCCTTGGACATTCATGTTACAGGGGTCAGGTAAAACTTAGGTAGATTTTATGCACAGAATTTAGGACTACTTCTTTGGCTTTTCTTTCTGGAATTCCTTCTTCAGTCTCCAAAATCTCTGGCTGCCCTGAGCTTTGTCTTCTGGTTCTTCAGTCTAGGAAGACAGTAAGTTTTCTGACAGACTTTTAGCCTGCCCCACACAGTGCTGTGACTATGGCCTGCCTTCAGGCTAAAGCTGAAAAACTTAGGAAATTGCCCTGCACCAGTCCTTTCTTCTAGTCTCATTTCTCTTCAAGATCTGTCTGCTTTCGTTCACTGTGCAGAGCCTTCAGGCAATTGTGTTTTCGATTTTATCCAGACTTTATAGCTGTTATCGGAAGGCAAATCGAAGTGCTGGAAGTGGAACTCCTCCTATCTTGCCTTCATTTTTAAAGGCTATTTTCACTGGGTATAGTATTCTATTCTTTTCTTTCTCCTCCTCCTCCCCCTGTCCTTCTTTCCCACCACACCCTCCTTCTCCAGCTTCCCCTCCTTCCTCTCTTTTATCTCCTTCTCTCCAGCCCCTTACTCTGTCATTCCAATGTCTTTGGTATGCACTGTATCTGATGCAATGTTTGTAATCATTCTTATGTTTGATTTTTTTTTCTCTTTATCATTGATTTTCAAGAATTTGATTATGATACATCTGTTTATGGTTTTATTTGTACTTATCCTGCTTGTGGGTCATTAAGTTTTTTGGAGACATAGATTAGTATTTCTTTACAAACATGTAAAAATCTCAGCCATTATTTTTTTGAGAAAAATTTGGATCCTTCCCCATTATTTTCTAGGAATGCAATTGAACATGTATTAGATTGTTTGATACTGTCCCAGAGGTCACTGAGGCTGTTCATTTTTCCTAGTCCTTTTCCTCTCTGGGTTTCAGTTTGGGTAGTTTCTATTGTCCTATCTTCAAGATCATTTGATTTTTTTTCTGCAGTGAGTAACCTGCTATTAAGTACATCTATATAAATTTTTCATTTCAGATATTATATATTTTAGCTCTGAAAGTTCCATTATGTTCTGTTTTTATAGTTTTCATTTCACTCATTATTATTTTTATGTTTTTCATTAATTCCCTGAGCATATTTGTAATGAATGTTGCAAAGTCCTTTGTTGCTAATTTTATCATTTTTGTCATTTCTACATCTCTTTCTGTTGAGGGATACATCTTACATATTCCTTTGTATGTCTACTTATTTTTTTTTCTAAGATATGGATGTTTTGTTGTTAAGTCTCTGGATATAATGTCTTCCTTTGAAGAATGTTGAGTTTTGTTTTGGCAGGCAGTTAATTTGCTTGTAAATCAATTTTTGAAGTTTGTTTTCAATCTCTGGCAGAAAAGTTCTAGAATTACCAACAACAGCAGTTTAGCAGTACTCATAAGGTGTGGCTTTTCTGGTACCACTCTTGAATGCCTCAAGTATATAATTTGGTCTCTTCACTTTGATTTGTTGGGACTTGATTGTCTTCCAATTGTATTGAAAGTGCCAGTAAGTAGTTCGACTTATAATGGTTTTGCTTAATGTTTTTTTCCATAGTAGTTATTCTTTTCCTGGCTTGTAGAATCTTATTTGCGGAGCTTAACATTCAGCTAAATATTTAAGGAAACCCATTTGCATATTTCTGGACTCTTTTTCCCCACATATTTTATCCTTACTCTGCCCCACGAAGTCTTGCCACCTCAATCTCTCCAAACTGTGACCTTTATCTCCTCAGCTCATGAGGCCACTGTTCTCTGCTTGGTCTTTCCCTCTCTGTCACAGGGTCTGATATTACTTCTGGACAGAAAATTGGGGCGACTGTAGGATTCACCTCATTTATTGCCTTTTTTTCATATATCACTCTGTGTCTAGTGTCTGAAAACAATTGTTCCATGTATTTTGTCTACTTTTCTAGTTGTTTACAGTAATAGTTGTCTATTACTATTGATTATAGCTCCCATGTAAGGAGCTTTATAAAACCATAGACTTCTGGCATTTCTATTCCAGGCTTACTGAATTAAAATTTTGTTGGGAAATGAGCCTAGAAATATGTATAAAAATGTCCACAAGCAGTTTTGAAGCAAAGCCAGATTTTGGAATGACCAAATTACAGAATCTGATAGTCTTTTCTCATTCTAAAATTCTGTGACATTTATGAACAGTTAGGATACATAAAGCCCTTGGAAGCTACTGAATTTATAATCAGAAATAAGAAACAAATGCAGTATCTTAAAAGTATATGAAATTTCTAAGTAGATATAGATCTATGAAGTATAAATTAAATCCCTTCTTAAGAACAGCAGCCATTTCCTAGCATCTTTCAATGTTATTTCTGTATTAGGAGGAAAAAGTAGGCACTCTTCTTCTAAGCACTTTACTTGTATTATCTCGTTCATATGTGGAAGATAGCTCTTACTACCCCATTCTCTAAGTAAGTAATTTGAGGCATGGAAATGTTAAATAACTTACCCAAGCCTATACTGCTAAGTTAGTGTAGAGGTGAGATCTGAATCCTGACCATCTAACTCCAGACCCTGAGCTTGTCACCACTTTATCATACCACACAAAAAGTACTCTGTACTTAGATGGATGTAATAAGAAATTTATCTGTCATCACACTGATATTTCAGTGATTATTTTTTTTCTATATGTCTACCATATAGGCTGAGAACTCTTTGATAGAGATTTTATCTGTATTTTTCTTCTGTGTCTCAGTGCTCATTACACATTAACAATGAATAGATAATAACAATTTCCTGAATGTTTATTTCTTTTCTGTGATTGTTATAAAC